TGTTAAACAAAGAGAAACTCATAATGGTCACTGACATAACGTGAAACTGACAAAAGTAATTAAAAAAATGTACTAAATTTACTAATGAAAATAAGTCATTGCTTTTGAATTGTGGTTCAACAGAAGAATTAAAAAAAAAAGAAACTAATGAAACTGGCCTGGACAAAAATGATGGTACCCCTAGAAAGGATTGAAAATAATTTGACCATAGAGACATGTTAAACTAAAGTGTGTCCTGTAATTAGCATCACAGGTATTTTCAAACTTGTAATCAGTCTATTGCCTATTTAGATGGTGAAAAGTAGTCACTGTGCTGTTTGGTATCATGGTGTGTGCCACATTGAACATGGACCACAGAAAGCTAAGGAGCGAGTTGTCTCAGGAGATTACAAAGAAAATTATAGACAAACATGTTAAAGGTAAAGGCTATAAGATCACCTCCAAGCAGCTCGATGTTCCTATGACTACAGTGGCACATATTATTCAGAAGTTTAAGGTCCACGGCACTGTAGCCAACCTTCCTGGACGTGGCCGCAAGAGGAAAATTGATGACAAATTGAAGAGACGGATAATGCGAATGGTAACCAAAGAGCCCAGAACAACTTCCAAAGAGATTAGAGGTGAACTCCAAGGTCAAGATACATCAGTGTCAGATCGCACCATCCGTCGCTGTTTGAGCCACAGTGGACTTCATGGAAGACGACCGAGGACGACTGTTGAAAGCAACTCCTAAAGAAGCGAGAATGGAATTTGCCAAAATGCATACAGTGGTGTGAAAAAGTATTTGCCCCCTTACTGATTTCTTATCTTTTTGCATGTTTGTCACACTGTAATGTTTCAGATCATCAAACAAATTTAAATATTAGTCAACGATAACACAAGTAAACACATCATGCAGTTTTTAAATGAAGGTTTTTATTATTAAGGGAAAACAAAATCCAAAACTACAAAGCCCTGTGTGAATAAGTGTTTCCCCCCCCTGTCAAAACATAACTTAACTCTGAATGAGGAAAAAAATGAACTTAAATGATTTTAGCATATGGCTGCAATATAACAAAGAGTGAAAAATTTAAGGGGGTCTGAATACTTTCCATACCCACTGTATACAGACATGGACAAAATTGTTGGTACCCTTCTGTTAAACAAAGAGAAACTCATAATGGTCACTGACATAACGTGAAACTGACAAAAGTAATTAAAAAAATGTACTAAATTTACTAATGAAAATAAGTCATTGCTTTTGAATTGTGGTTCAACAGAAGAATTAAAAAAAAAGAAACTAATGAAACTGGCCTGGACAAAAATGATGGTACCCCTAGAAAGGATTGAAAATAATTTGACCATAGAGACATGTTAAACTAAAGTGTGTCCTGTAATTAGCATCACAGGTATTTTCAAACTTGTAATCAGTCTATTGCCTATTTAGATGGTGAAAAGTAGTCACTGTGCTGTTTGGTATCATGGTGTGTGCCACATTGAACATGGACCACAGAAAGCTAAGGAGCGAGTTGTCTCAGGAGATTACAAAGAAAATTATAGACAAACATGTTAAAGGTAAAGGCTATAAGATCACCTCCAAGCAGCTCGATGTTCCTATGACTACAGTGGCACATATTATTCAGAAGTTTAAGGTCCACGGCACTGTAGCCAACCTTCCTGGACGTGGCCGCAAGAGGAAAATTGATGACAAATTGAAGAGACGGATAATGCGAATGGTAACCAAAGAGCCCAGAACAACTTCCAAAGAGATTAGAGGTGAACTCCAAGGTCAAGATACATCAGTGTCAGATCGCACCATCCGTCGCTGTTTGAGCCACAGTGGACTTCATGGAAGACGACCGAGGACGACTGTTGAAAGCAACTCCTAAAGAAGCGAGAATGGAATTTGCCAAAATGCATATGGACCAGCCACAAAGCTTCTGGAAGAATGTCCTTTGGACAGATGAGACAAAACTCTATGTTCTATCAGCTCTATGTTCATAGACGCACAAATGAAGCATACAAAAAAAAAGAACACTGTACCTCCTGTGAGACATGGAGGAGGCCCAGTTATGTTCTGGGGGCTGCTTTGATGCAGCTGGCAGAGGGTGTCTTGAATCTGTGCAGGGTACAATGAAATCTCAAGACTATCAAGGCATTCTGGAGCGAAATGTGCTGCCCAGTGTCAGAAAGCTTGGTCTCAGTTGCAGGTCATGGGTCCTTCAACAGGATAATGACCCAAAAACACACAGCTAAAAACACCCAAGAATGGCTAAGAAGAAAACATTGGACTGTTCTGAAGTGGCCTTTTATGAGCCCTGATCTAAATCCTATTGAACATCTGTGGAAAGAGCTGAAACATGCAGTCTGGAGAAGGCATCCTTCAAACCTGAGACAGATGGAGCAGTTTGCTCACGAGGAGTGGGCCAAAATACCTGTTGACAGGTGCAGAAGTCTCATTGGGAGTTGCAGTGATTGCCTCAAAAGGTTGTGCAACAAAATATTAAGTTAAGGGTACCTTCATTTTTGTCAAGGACAGATTCATTAGTTAGTTTTTTTTTTCTCATGCTTCTGTTGAACCACAATTCAAAAGCAATGACTGTCAGTTAATTTTCAGTAAATTTTTATTTATTACTACTTTTGTCAGTTTCACGTTATTTCAGTCACCATTGTGAGTTTCTTTGTTTAACAGAAGGGTACCGGCAATTTTGTCCACGTCTGTAACTACCTTTGAGAACGTTAACCGAGAAATGAACAACTCCGTCAAATCTGTTAACCTGTGTAAATATGAGAACCATAAAAAGTTGTGGTTTGGTATCACTATTGATTTTCTTCTTGATTTAGCTCGAGTTGAATAAGAACGCTCAATCATAACTCTAATAACAATGTCCCTAAATAGGTCTCTTATTAAGAGTCAGTTTCCGGTTGGTTCTGTTGAACTTCAGTGATGTCAGTTCAAAGATGACAACAGACCAAATAAGAGATGATCTGTTCAGAGACACAGTTTACCATTCTGCAATTCTCGTTGTGAGTTTTAACAAATCTCTGCTCATGCAGTGGGAAGATGGTTCTTATCCTGGAGGACTCTTTTTCCCATGGATGGGAAATCTCCTTCTGACTATTTTTTCCGGGCTTTTCCCACAATTGGCCACAAGGCAGCTCTGGTATCCTTCTCCGTTGTCGTTAGATCCTTTTCTCTTTCGGGAATTCGTTGTCTTTTGTTGTCTACCAGATAAGATCCCTCACGGAGCGAAGTATGGGGTTCTGTATTTGTATTTGAGATGCCACATTTGCCTAGTCTATGTGCAATATCAATGCTCTCCGGCGCCTTCTCACCCACCTTTTGGCAAATCAGGGAGCCTCTCCGCTTTACAGCTTCACCCTCCTCTTCAGCCATACCGTAAAGGCGCAGACACCATCTCTTATAGCGTTCAGCGTCTGCCACTCTGTCAGATAGGCTACTGATTTCGTTTTGTTGTTTTTAATGCTTTTGTTGCTTTTTTAATGTCACTGACTTCCCCATAAACACATTCCAGGGAGTTTTTAAGCTCTTCAACGGTGTTGGCGTTGTCAGTTATGCTTTCCAGCTTGTCTGCTCTCTGATTTATCTTCACCGTTAAGGCACTAATGATGTTCGACTGCAGCTCATACAAAGAGAGGTCGTTGGTGAGACTTTCTTTTTTAGCTGGGCTGGTCAACAGATAATCGGGTAAAGGCTGTAGGGTTAGATCCTCAGCTTTATCCATATTTTTACTGTAAGGATTAGTGCTCACCTCAAAATAAGAGTGGTCGTCCAGGACAAATTTGTTGTTTGGCGTTCCCAGGGCTTTGTCCATTCTTTTCCCGGTGCTGAGTTTAAAGAGGCTCATTTCTTCTTCTTCAAAAAGCGCTAGCTAGCAACAACGTCGTTAGCCTGATGTCTAAAAAAGTAAGCCCGCTCACGTTACGTGTGTTCACAGTCTTGCACTCATATACACAGGATCGCACCACTCAAGATTGTAAAGAGAAAACGTAATTATGTTTGTAGCAAGATTAAAAAAAAACATTGTGTTGAGTTGCATTTCTTGGCGACATCCCAACAGAGATGTTAATGCTAACAGCACATTCGTTACCATACTTCCGCGCGTCTTCTTCCTCTTCTTATGTTTATTGATGGTTTGCAAGCCAATTTAAGGCGCATTACCGCCACCTGCTGGGCTGGAACTTCCGTCCGTCACAATAAGGTCCAGCATTTTACAGTGGGAAAGCGTCCTGTTTGCGCTTTAAAAAAAAAATCAAAATAACTTTGGTATAGTAATTAGACATGTGAATTTTCATGTATTTGGATGGAATTTCACAGGCAGATTTTTAGACATATATTAATGAATTCTGCTTACACTTCAATGGTGATCACCAAAATAAATAATAATCAAATTAGCTCATGCAGTCCGTGTGCAGACACAGTTCAACTTACTAACAGTGAATGTGAAATGTACGTGTCTTGAGCTTACCGTGAATGCAGAAAATCAGCAAAATTTACAAAACAAAAAACTCCAGCAATTTGAATAACCATAATATTTAAAAGTTCATGTGCCATATACTATAAGTGCAAAATAAATAAAACGTGTTTATGGGATGCTGACCGTTGTCTTTTTAAGATTCAGTGGAGATGACAGCGGACTTCAGGAAGTGCCCCCCAGGTCTCAATTTTGAAGTACTCTATCTTTATTCCTATTATCTCATTTCAATGAGCATTCCTTTGTTTGTCAGCATCGTTTACTGCCTGTTTAGAATGCTTATTTTGCATTGTTAGCACTGTTTGTTGCTTGTAATACTGCTGATTATTTTTATTATATTACACAGCCTTATGCCGGTTTACTGTTTACTTGCCCCTTGCATGGGGATATGTACATGCACATTGAGAGCCGATGTACCAGAGTCAAATTCCTCGTGTGTCCGACACTCCTGGCCAATAAAGCAGAATCTGATTCTGATTCCTTTAGAAATACCTGTTAGCATTCTTGGTAACTATAGTTATCTCTGGTAACCATAGCAGCACTGTAGTTTCTCGTGTGAGATCGCAAAGGCTTGTGCATGTTTTGCGGAGCATATGGTTTTCGTAAGTCTCAGCAGGTACAACGCAAACATTATCTGTCCTTGAGCTCGGGGGAGGGGCCTGTCTTCACACCATCACTCTGCAACCTGTGTCAGCAGGTGTGTCTCAATGAAATACTTTACGCCTCACAGCAAGTTGATTCGCACGTTGAAATGATAGTCATGGGGAAGAAAGGTGGAAGAGCTGATTTTGAATGGGTCTACACTGACCAGCCGCACACGTCAAGAAGAAAAGAAATACTGGGTAAGAAATAGTCTATAAAACTATTGAATATCTATATGAAACTTTTCACCATCACCGGGAAATCTGCTTAATTTACGTTACTGTAACAAGTTGAAGAGTGCATTATTTCTGGCCATAGCTTATTTATAAAAAAAAATGTAGCTGGTCTTGTGTCAGGATGTCTTTGACAAGGGGAACCCTTTTAAAACAGTTTCTCTTAGCGAATCTGTGATAAGGGTTCAGAATAGGGGAAACACATCTCAACGGGGGAACTGATCTCGACACGACACCGGTTCAACCAGTTTACTAGCTGTTGCTTAACAAACTATACACTAATGGATGCAGGGGATGTAGCAACATATATAAACACAGTTTGGAGTAATTAGTTTGGCTTACCTGTTAATGGTAAGTTACACAAATCGTTTTTTTAAAACGTTTAAAGTTCCAGTTTTTAAAGGTCAAGACATTAATGATAAAGGCCAAATAAACCTTAAAATTCAGTGCTAATGGACTGACACGATTAAAAGCTTTGTCAACGCGTTCATTCTTATCATTCAGGCATGATTTATTGGGCGTTTCTCACATTGCTATCTTTCTTAGTCACAGACTTTGAGGCTGCATTTGCAGTATTTTTTTGGTGGCGTTTTGTAGTAAAACTGACAAAGGGAGGTTGTTGTCATGATGTTCAAGTGGAGATAAGAGGTATTTTTGAGTCAGTCTTGTGACTAAATGCCTGAAGATTAGTTTAGTTTCCCTTGAAAAAGTTCACAGAACAGACCGACATGTTCATTTTGTGCAAACCCATCTGTTTCAAGTGTCATAGTTTTATTTGTTTCTCCGACTGGCATTGATGGCAGGTGCAGTCCACAAAGCCTCTGAGTTTGCTAGGTAACAAGACAATCCCTGCTTGTTACACACAGGCTACACAGGATCCCTAAAAAAATAGTGTCTTAAATCTTTTATCATTAGTCTATTAATGCAAGATAATATTTTTCTAAAATGTGTTGGCATTTATGCTCTTTCATATTTTACTACTTTTTCAAGGTTATTAAATCTATATCAGAAACATCATCTTTGCTTATACAAGTCAGTAGGGAAATAGTTTAGTCTGCTGATGTGGCCTATTTGATCTTGGCTGTGTCCAGCCGTTTCATGGTTGCTCTGGTGTGAAAGAAGGGTTTAGAAAGTTATGGGCTGTTCTGCACAACTGATCCTTGAATTATTAAAGCATTTTGGTTTGATAACCCTCTGCCCTGCCCTGTGGGGACAGGCAGAGGACAAGTGTCAGAGGTTGTTGTGTCTCACTTTCTATCACATTCTAATGTGGGAAACTTTGATTGACATGGCTTGTTGTTTGGCATGTCTGCACGCAAGAGGTGTATATAACCAGGAATTACATCATGTAATGCCTCCTGTACTGTTTCTCAGTTTGCACATGCATAATTGCATATCCATTGCTTGACTGTTGCACATACAGCTGTTTGTAGCATATATTTTTCACTTGCTGTTTTTAAAGTGCCTTTATTTTGTATTACTGTTTATTTTTATTTTATATTTAGACTATATTGTTTTGCATTCATTGTGGACAGCTAAGGAAGAATTTCATTGTGCAGGGAAACATGTTTCCTTACACAAACACTTTGATTTGATTATTTTGCATGTTCAATAGACATTAACACAAGTTATCTTGGGAGGTTACATGGGTGATAAATGATTCTAACACTGCAGCAGTGAATATATTCAATTGTCATTCAACTTTGAGCATGCATTTGAATCTTAAATCGTTTTACATTGAAAGCTGAAACCTTACTGTACATAGGGGAATTATGTGACTGTATGTCAGGAAGTACAGAATGTGAGCTGAAACCTTATATATGTGAATGTTAGGTAAAAAGGACTTGTATCTCTGATAAATAATGGCATACACACATATGCTTTGTGCAGTTTAAACAGTTTCTTTTATTATGCCTGGTTATTGATTGTACTGTAACCTATAAACATGGCTGTAACCAGTACAGCATGAGAGCATATGACACAGTGGAGGTGAGTTCAGACCCTACAGCAGATTAAAAAGGAGTATGTGCCAAAGATTATGTTGGTACTCTCTTAATACATTGTTTTAAAAGGAGTGACTGTAGGGGAGCGGTAGGGAATTTCTCTTGGCTAAACTTTAACTGGATAAAGAGGTTTTGAGTAAAGGAGAGACCGACTTGCAGCAGAAAGAGCCCAGACTCTGGTGTCTAACATTTTAGTTACTGTGGTGAGGCCAGTTTGCATACAGGGATTACACAGGTGGGCTGAAAGCAAAGAAGCAGGCCAGATTTGCATGTGCCATTACCCAGCGCTGTAGTTGAGCCACTGAACTCCAGTGTTCAAGTCAAAGAGTAGTCAGAGTCAAATCTGTTACCTGAATTGGGTCATCAAGATTAACATTAAACACGATCAACACAACTCTCACCTTTTTAGCTCTCACCGAGGAGTTTACTTAGTGTGACAAGAGTCAAACAAATGTCATCATTAGTGCATATACCTACTCTACAAGGTTAATGGAAAGTGAAGTGTCATATTTAGTTTGAGAGGTGGACTGTACACTTCAATGCAAGTGTGCCTGATACGACATGGTGTGGGCAAACAGGTTTTGATATAAATGTCTTTTGCCAAAACATCATGGCCTGTTGCAAGAAAAACAAGTTAGTCTCCAACTTCTGAGTCTGAATGAAGTCATTGCTCAAGAGTGAGTCATCAGTTCTGAAGTCCAAGTTGAATATGACTTGTGAAAAATAGGATTCAAACTGAACTCTAGTACTTCAACACTGCCATTACCTGGTGTCACATTTCTGTCTTTCTGTGAAGCACACAACTGAAATTTAAGACTCAGATTTGTTTTTGTGCATTTCTGAACTCCTCACCTTCATAGTCCCTCAGGTCTGCTGACCAATCACTGTTTTCTGTTCCATGCATGTTTTCCATTCCATTTTTCAACCACTCATGTATCCAGGTTTCATGTCCCTCAGCAAAACAACACCTCTGCCAATTAAAAATGATGTACTCAGCAGGTGCTTCCCAAGAGAAAGGTTCCTAATATTTTGACCCTCTCATGTATGTAGCTGGGAAGGACAAAAATATAGACACATACCATTGAATTTTTACATTTGACAATTTGATAAAAACAAACATTTTAAGCTTCATAAACACAGATGTTAAGGTGGAAGTGTTGCATTGAAGTGCATATCGTTGTACAGGTGTGACTATTAAGGTGGCTGGTGAGTGTATCTATCCACATATACATACTGTATCTTACAACAAGCTCAGTGGTGTTCTTATTCACACAGTGATATGCTGTAATCAGCCTTTTGAAAAAGTCACTAAGTCATGGTAAACAGCCTCTCTGATGGATTCATGACAGATTTTCTTT